GACAATTAATTGATTGATTGACATCTATAATTAATAATTAATGTCTTACCATTCATTAATCAAACATTTTTGTAGATTTTTAATCATCTCAAAGTAACAATATTAACAGGGTCCTATTGGCCAAAATTTATCACTGGACCATCGCCTGAAGTTGCTGATCTAAAAATACCATATGAAGTAAATCCAATAATAATAATATATCATCATCATCATCATTCATCATCATTATATGTTAACTTGTATATATATTAATCAATTTTTTAGTTGTTCTTGATGAGAAAATCATTTCAAGATTATTTTTATTGTAAGAGAAGAGATGGTGCTAATAGAAATCTTAAATGGTTACATTCCTATGATAATCTAATTATTTCTTTAATTCATCCAAAGGTAGTTAATGATTATATTACTATAAATATTATTAATAGAATATTAATACTAATGTATTTTTCAATATTATCTGCTAGGGAAAAATGTACTTTAGTATAAATATGTGCATGTTTATAATATTGGAAATGTTCAACTATACAAGATCATATCAAATATCATACACTATTCGTGAAATTATGAAAAATACCGAATTAGGTAAATATATTATGTATGTATGTATTTTATGCACATATATGTATCTATTATATAATATTTAACATTCCATATTATTTATTTACTTTATTTAGATTTTGAAGTATTAAAAAGTGCTTTAAGTTCGTTGATATTTGGTGAAATTAAATTGTTGAATAAATTTGTGAATTCAAAGAGATTAAATTTATCTGATGCTATTTTTATTAACGAAAACTTAAACTTCATTGAATCAACTGTTGACAATCCAATAATAATTGATGAACGAAAATCACAAAGACAGGTAAAAAATATATTTTATTCTTGATTTAAAAAACAATTAATTTGATACATATATATAAACTAACACGTATTCATTCATTTGGGGATGAAAAAGATATCAACATCAGAGGATGTTCAAATCTCTTCTTATAATATATCCAATGAAATAAGGATAGATTCAAGGATAATGAAATTAATGAAATTACATAAACGTTACCAACATAATAGTTTGATTAGTTTTATACAAAAAGATTTTAAAAATAATTTTCATCAGCAAGTTCAGGTAAATAATTTAATTATTGTTTGTCATTTTTTCTATTCATTAATTAATATTCAATTTATTTTTTATTTTTTAGCAAAAACTTATCGATGTTCAGATCAAATCCTTAATAAAACGACAATTTTTAAGAAATGAAGGCAAAAATGTTGTTTATGTTCCCTAAAAAAAAAATTTCATTTTTCATTTTTTTTATTCTTGCTTAACCGCAAAGATAGCATTATAAATGTTGATCAAATTTGTGATTTTTTCAAAAAAAATTTAAACCAAAATAAAAAAAAACAAATCTTTACCACATCTGAAAGAATGTTGTTTGAAATTTACAACATTTACTCAGATTCTAGACGACTTAAGCATAGTGGAAGTTTGTTGTTACACGAAATGTTATACCTCTCTAAATTGGAGATCAAGTTCAGATCCAATTCAAATCCAATTCATCACTTACTTTTTATTGCCAGAATGTTTGCCGTGTATTGTAAAACTACGTTGCACAATATAAAAAATTAGTGTAACATTTCAAATTTTCACTATGCTGACGGCTTATTTATTATTTTACCACGAAGATCATCTATAATCATTAATTGTTTATAGTAACAATTGGTCAGCTTCAAAATATTAAAACAAAAAAAAAATTATATCATTTTAAAAAATTTAACTGATAAGTTTTATTGTTCGACTCAAGCTTCAAAACTTATTGGCTGTTTTTTTTCTTAAACTGAAAATTGGCCGAATTTTGTTATTATTATACACTTGAGAAATTGAGACTAATACTAAATAAATTTCATGTAACAACTTTTTTCATAGAGATTCAAAATATTGTAACACGAAAATTATTGTTGATTTCTGAGCATAACTTTCAAATTTAAAAAATCCATGAAAAGAAAATTTCAGACAAATTTTTTTTTTGGGATTAATAGACTCCCTTTTTAAAGTTAAATTGAATGGTGTGGGTTTTTTAAAATCCAATGTGTGGATCACATAATATTTCAAAAATTTTAACCTTTGAGTATAGATGATCCGCACTGTACTTATTAGTTCCTATGGTTATTTAGTCTACATTATAATAATAAACGAATATTTTACAGTCGTTTTATAATAAATGTTCCTGAAGAGGAATTGTCTTCCACGTATTGCTTTCAAATTGAACAAGCTCATTGGTTCTACGAAGATTTTGTTCGCGAACAAAATCCAAATTTACCTAGCTTCGCATTAAAAAGTCTTTTCTGCAATAATACATATCAGCACGGATTATTTAGAAGATATATATGTAACTGAAAATATTGTAGACAATCTTAATATCATTAATAGTACAATGTTAAAAGGAAACAACAAGATTGTTTATCATATGAACAATTAAATATTACAAATTTTCATACTTTGAGTATGAGTGTAATAATCTAATCAAAGTTTGAATTTGTATTAGTTACATTCACTTTGTCTGATTTTGTTGCAGAACTTTAAGATTGATTGCTTGATTGTTGAGATATCGCATAATTTTTTTTTTAAAGACTATGACATTTGTGTAAGTATGATCCAAAATAATTATTATTGGTGTGAAAATTTTTCAGGCAAAGTGGGATGATTTTTTTTGGTGATCAGGGAAAATCACCCCATTATTATAATTGATTTTTTTATATAAATTCGAAATATTTTCTACAAATCTCAAATATCAATTAAATCTAAAAATTATAATAAATATAAAAAACTTTAAATTACAAAAATGTCAACAACATCTACTCAAGCTACTCAAACGACACAATCAGGACAACAACCACCTCACGCAGACGATACAGAGTTAACCACAGCTCAAGATTCAGAATCCCAAACACCTATTACTCGAACTGTGGTCATAGCTTTAGATCACTCAAGTGATAGTCAGCAAGCATTCGACTGGTCTTTGAAAAACTTTTTGAGGAAAGAAACTGATTTGGTATTTATTTAATTTATGTGTGATTAGAATTAGAAAGTTTAATATTGGGATTGCAATTAATATTTCCATTGATTAATTAATTGAAATAATTAGACTGTATTAGTTAATGTTCGACCAGTTCCTACAGTTCCTATACCTTATGCTGGTAAGAAGATATGAATTGATGATGGAAATATTTTGAATTGATTGATTAATTTCTTTTCCTTGATATATTTAGCAATGGGTGCGAGTTATATGGATTTCGGTGAAATTGTAGCTAATCTAGAAGAACAGGTAACTAATTAGGATTTGAGAGAGAAATCAATATAACAAAAATAAAATTTAATTCTTAAATTCTTTATTTTAATTTTTAAAATACATTTAGTATCGTATTAGTAGTCATACATTATTACAAGAATATGCTGCTAAATTAAAGAGTCACAATGTAGGTATTCACAATTAATAATTAGCATTGATTGGTAAATAATAATGACAATGGTGATTGATAATAATCACCTTTTAATTATTTGTTTAGTTTGCATGTAAAGCTATAGCAATGAGAGGAGACGCAAGAGATGAGATTGTACGTAAGGTTGGTGAATTGAACGCTGAGGCTTTAATATTGGGTAATCGTGGATTAGGTGCATTGAAAAGGTTAGATATTTTTCTTTTTTATCTGTGAATGAAATAATTGAAACATCAAACAATTTAAATCTAATTATTTCCAAAATATTAGAACTCTTTTAGGATCAGTTAGTGACTATTGTACTCATAATTGTCACTGTACTGTTATTATTGTCAAGGAAAAGGTGAATCAACAACATGATAAAAAGCAATAACTTGTATATATTAATTATTTTTTAAAAAATTTTTTCTTCAATATGTATAAATTAAATCCAAACAAATAAAATGAATTCATTCCAAATTTTATATTATGTGAAATGAATTTCTTGTGAGTAGTATTTAAAATTGGACTTAAATGAAGTTAGTGTTCAATATTATCATAATAAAATAATAATAAAATAATAATTGGTCAAGTGGCTTAAAGTTTTGTTGTTACTTTAATTCATTTACAAAATTAACGATTGATGGGAAATAAAATAAATTTAAGTGGAATAAATGACTTTATTGTTGCGCGTACGGTGCAGATCATCTATAATCATTAATTGCTTATAGTCTTGATTTCAATGACATTTATAAAAACAAAGACACCAAGACATTTTATAAAACAACAAAATAAAATAAAATAAAATACAATAAAAAATAGTACCTCTGTCATTAACACGTCTTCAGACCCAAACCATACCAGTCAACATTTACGTTTCCTCGTTTTGTAAAAAATAAAATTTTTATTCGCATCCAAAAAAAAAAAAAAATCAATCACATCAAAAAAATAGGGGTTCTTGTACAACCCATACATGTAATAATAATAAAGTTGCTAAATTTTTTTGTGTACAATCACAACTTTCCTTTTTTTTCTTTTAAAAATTTTTTAAAAACAATATAAAAATAAGTGTTTATTATATAAGAATTACTCTAGTTAAGAATGGATAAAAAGTCTGTTCAGTTTTTAACTATTAGAACTGTTACTATTTTTTACAAATTAGAAAGAAAGGTGATCGATCTATGGCTCCTAAGTAAGTATTGTTAAGAGAATAATTTAAAAAATGGTAATTGCATTGGTTACTAAAGTGGGGCATACTGCAACAAAACCAGACAAAGTGAACATTGGTATTACCAGAATTTCAGTGATCAAAAAATTTTTTAACAGTACAATTGTATTACTACTACAATGTGATAGTGATATTTTCTCCCACTTCTTATATTATCTCTATATAAAAATAGTTAATATGAAACTCATTTATATCAGGTCTACTATGGAACCCAAAAATTACAGCACCATTAGAAGTATTTTGAAAAAGGAGCAAGGTGAAAAAATTGCTCCTTACATTTCAAAAATCAATCATATTAATATAGTCATTGATGTTCTTCAGTAATTCTTAACAAACCCATATCTGAATCTAATAATAAATAAATATTATTATTTCCAAGATAAAAATATAAATTTTTGTCAATAATTACTAAAAGCCTTTACCCAAATCTTCATGTAACTTCAGCAAAAAACTTTATCAAAATCGGATGTTACCTCAATTATAATAATCTGGGGTTTTGTTACTACCAACTTGGGTAAGCCTAATATGAAGAGTGTTGGGTAAACCCATTAGTAAATTTTGAAAACTTTAGGGTAACCTATCTATGTAGTTTCCGGGGTCATATTCATAACAATAACAGTGGGATAAATTTATTAATTATTAATACATGATGTAAGTGATAAAATTTTATTTTAATAATTTATTAAATAGTATGATAGAAGTCAAGCTAGAGGCTTTAAAGGTTGTTTAAAATTGCAATTGAAATTGAAAGTAACAATATAGAAATAGATAGAATATGAATTATTAATATTGAGAAAGAAACTGTATTGACTTGACGAAATTGGTTTAAAATAAAAATTTTTTTAACCAGTCATGCACCGAACATTAATTATGTGGAAGAGATCTTTGTGTACGTGAGATTGATGATAATAAATATTTTTGTTTCCTTTTGTCAAGTTTTGAATCAAATCATATGTTTTGCTTATTGAGTACTATTTAATTAATTGAATACACTTTTCTAAGTCATTCATTTTTATAATTTATTCTTATAAAATAATCAGATATCTTACCATTAATTTATTCAAATTTTCATAAAATATCTTTTCGCCCAAACTATTTTTAACTGGAATGTCAATACTGGTAACCAGCCTAACTCTATATATACTGTACCAGGTTGGTCAAGCACAAAGATTTTCATTACAAAACCTTGAAGAAAGATTTAGAAATTATTATATTTCACCATTAAATACTAACTAATATATAAAACATAAAAAACATTTCTTACCAGCTACTAAAACACCATATATATTTACACCAGGGTTGGCAAATTGACTGGTCCATTGAGAACAGATGGATTTTGGACTGGTCCATTGCCATTAATAAAATACTAAATATGGTTAAAGTGTTACACTAATGGACCCAATAGACCATCAATGGACCGCACATTTGCCAACCCTGATTTACACCATTGTTGTTATAATCAATGTTACTATCATTTCTGTATTTATTATAGAAATAACTAGATATCAAATCCTTGCAGTCTTTCATCATCTTTATCATTTTATTTAAGTCAGATAACATTTTTGGTTGTTTTTCCTCCCATGGTGAGCTGCACACTTCTCCTACTAATAACTCAAAATTGACTTTTCCTTGATTCTTATATGTCTCTTTAGAAATAAACTTAAGATCTGGCTTTTGTCCTTTTCTTGCCTTTTTCTTCATTTTTAAAAGGAAATAGTCATTTTTACTCAAAATAATAAGATTTATTTTTTTTTAAAAAAAAATACCTTTTTTGTAATTGTCAATTTCATCACTAGAACTGTTTTCATTTTTTCATTTTTTTGAACTTATTGATCCCTTTTCAAAACTGGATAAATTTTTTTTTTAAGTAAAAACAAATTTATAACAATAAAATGATCAAGAGCTAAAAAATTCATTTGCACTAAGAGTCTTAATTTCTGAATATCTCTTGCTGCGATATTAAAAGGAATTGTCACAGAATGTGACATCCATGTACCTTCATTAATATCATATTCTTCTTTGTATTCACCATTCCTTCTGAAGTATGAACTAAATAAAAAATAATTATATTGTATTAAAAAGAAATAATATGCTTAAATAAAAGAATATACATACAAATGATTCTTAATTTCATTCAAGTTAGATTCATTTATAACTGAAGTAAAATCGCTTGAATTAAATATACAATCACTGATATCTGATAATTCATTCCATTCATCATCATTAAAAAAGGGTTTTAACCATGAATCTGGATCAGATACGTCTAAAATATTTGAGCATAATGGATTATCCTGATCTAGTTCTTCAAATGAACCTTTTAAGATTTCCTCTTTCAGACAATTTTGGATTGGTGATGATGGTGTCATTATTGTTGTTGATGAATTTCTAAAATTCCATGGCTATTGATTTATATTTTCATCCTAAAAAAATTTATAAGATTTTTTTTTAAATAAAAAAAGACAATATATTATATACGTGTATATAAATTATATGTACTTCAAGATTTAATACTCTAAGTTTTTCTTTTGATTGTTTTAATAGTTTCATGAATAAGTTTTGTACTCTATATTATTAATAATATATTACAATATTAAAAAAGAACAATATTAATTTATATCCTAATCTTTTGCCAAAAATTTTTCTTAAAAGATATTATATCTTAAATGAAGTTGGTGTCTACCACCACCTTTAATCTTAGTCAATTTTTACATTCATCATTATTGTGCAATAAAAAAAAAACAAAAATATAAATTGAAAAAATTAAATTATACCTTTTCCTCATTTGATTTGGAAATATAAAAGTTTATATTAATTTTTTCTTGCTTTAGAAATTGCTGTAACCACCCAATGTAAATTTCTTTTAATAAAGTCACTGTAAATTTTATACTGCCTTTGTTGGCCATAAAGTAATACAAGCTTTTTAAATTCCAAGTGTTTTATCAAAGCTGTCGAAATATTCTTTACAACTTCTAAAAAAACATCTTTCTTTATCATCAAGTTCTTTTCCATTATTTTTTAGTGGATATATACAGTCTTCCAAATTTTCCACACTATATATAATAAAAAAAAAAGTTCATAATTAACTAGAATGACGGCGAGTGGCAAGTGATAACCACCACCAATATGATAAACACTTACTCATTTTTCTTGGCCAAAGTTTTTGATTCTCTTCTTTTATTGTCAATATTTTTATTATTACAAGGCATGCTTTTAATAAAGAAAAAAAAAGTTTGTTATTTGATCGACATGTACACATTAATTATTTATCCTATTGGTTTTTTTTGGTAGGACAGACATGATTGATTTTTTTTTTTTTTGGGAAAACAATTTATTTTTTGACAGAGTCCAAGGTGACAAAACATGAGTGTTGTTGTTTGGTTTGGTTTGGGTCTCCTAAAGAATACGTGTTAATAACTGACCAGAGGTACTTTTTTTTATTTGTATTGTCTTTTTTGGTTATTATAAATATTTTAATTGGAAATCAAAACACAGAGCAGATCTTGCTGGGTAATTATAAGATTTTCATTGATGGTATTTTGCTTTGCGTAATCATAATAAAATTATTATTATTAATATATAATTACAAGAAGATGCCATGTTAAAAAGAAACAATTCAAATATGCAATGTTTGATTATTGGCGTTGAAGCACGCATGCTGCCTTGAACACTTACAGTCATTCTCTCATCTTCCTTGTGTACACAAGGCTAAACTGACCTCATCCCCTGATGATACAATGATGCAACTGAATTCCAGGGGGGAGCATGGCCCTGGAGTTCACCGAGACTATATACACCAATCGTCAAGGATGTTTTTCACTAATCTTCCAAGACCAGAGAAGATGGCTGGTATGTTAGCTGACAAGCTGACTGCAATGATCCTACCTCTAAGGATGGCACTGTGACCAAGCCATCACAACTCTGTTGATGAATATTAAGAGAATCTGCAGCTCGTTTAAGCACAGGAGGTCACAATTCAGAGCAGGGTTGGTGGCTAAGGTTTCTGGTCCAAACTGTTTTCTCAAAGCCCAAACTAGTTTGGGCAATTTGGGCTTCTCAACATTTTCTATAAGCATGAACATTAAAAAACTATATGAATCAACTTGTTTTAACTTAAACAACTTTAAAATAATTTCGCCCAATTTCGGCTAATAACAAAAAGTAGTTTGGGCTTATAAAAAAATAATTTTTGCCCAAAGTATTTGGGTAATTCGGCTACTAATAGAAACAGTTTCGACCAGAAACCTTATTGGTGGCCCTAAAATTGCATTTGGGCTCTGATGTTAAGAGGAAAGTTGTAAAATAGTGTTTTTTTTGTATAATCATTTTCTAAATGCTCTGTTTCTTTGATACTAACCAATTTATTAATTTTTTGTAGGGTTTTTGCCCAATGAGTTCTCTGTCCTGTAGGTTAAAATCATCACATGATTATATACATCTTTGTCAGCAATATGGCCAACAAGAAAAAAGTCATAAAAATGGTTCGGATTTTGTTTGGTATGTTTTGTTTAAATTAATCATTTTCATAAATACTCTGTTTCTCTTTAATTTTTATTTGACCAACTGAACTTATTATTTAAATAAATGGGGTAAGGTTGTTGGTGAGTAGGTGTGCCACTGACAAGACAGCAACCCAAGACTCAAAACTCTAAATCCAGGGAAAAAACCAAAATAATTACCCAGGTTGCAACCTCCTGAGTTGGAGAATTTTGAACCAATTGCAGACACCAAATTTGTACTAGAGAAGTATAACACAATGCAAGCATCACACAAATGCTGATATTCATCAATGATCAATGCCCATATGGTGACAGCAAAGCCTGACCTGGGAGGAAGATAGGGAAAAGTTTTGTCCAAAGCCTTCCAACTTGTTCAAGTCACTTTCACTTGTGGAATAAAATCCATGGTGCTGAATTGATGCTTTGCACGGCGCTTGCATGTTTGTGACAGGAAAATTTTATTAAATCTGACACCCATGATCAACATCAGATTTATTATAAGGAACCATAATTGATAATAATAATTTATTTCATGAATCCCAGAGATCTGGGTTGACACATTATTAAAAGTTTCATTCATGCATGGCCTTGGTATCATTACTACCTGGATGATGCAATTGTTTGTTATGTCAATGACAACATCAAATGTATCGCATAATAATCATGACCAATGAATATTTGATGGATGGAGGCATTCGCATACAAGGAAACAAAGGAAATGATTAAATAGTAAGTCATGTTTGTTTTGTTAAAAACATATGATTAATTATACAATAAAAAAAAATTGCATTGAATCCAAAGACTGCATCACTA